ATAGGGATAGCACTGGATCTTTCACATTCTGGCTGCTAGGGCTTTTGTTAGCAATAAGGTCTGCTTCTCCAAGACAGGCTAATTACTATCCTTCAGTGAAAAATAAAGACACTACTAACATTTACTGAAGGAGCTCTGATGGCCTTGTTGTAAGAATATGCACTGTAATCCTGAAGGCACAGGGTTTGAATCCACCAGGTTCTCTGTGGAAGAAGGATGGGCAATCTCCTCCTGTGTGATTAACTGCCTCTGAAAACCCACTGGAGGATCAGTTATGGGTCTGATTTGACATGACAGTACACAACAACAACATGTCTTGAAGAGTTCTAGGTGTTAAGTACACTAAATATGTGTTGTTATAGTTGTGTGCCATCAAGTTGACTGTGACTCATAGTGACCGTATAAATAATAGTTCTCAACTCTGCCCTATCTTGAGCCAATCTCACCATCTCTGATACACCAACCCCCATCACTCCAATCCCTATGCCAGTCCATCTCATCCAGGGTCTTCCTCTCCAGCACAGATCCTCCATCTTTCCAAGTACGATGTCCCTCTCCAGGGACTGATCCCTCCTTATAACATGCCCCAAGTATGAGATAGAGCTTTACAATTCTTGCCTCCTCCAAGTAGCAGCTTGGTTTCATGCTCTCCAGGACAGACCTGTTTGTTCTCTTGGCGGTCCATGGTATATTCCATACTCTTCTCCAGCAACACAATTCAAAGGCATTGATCCTTCTGTCTTGCTTAAATCACTGTCCAGCTCTCTGATGCACAGCAAGCAATTGTGAAAACCATGGCCTGGATCAGGCACACCTTAGACTCTAGACTGACATCACTGGCAACCTAATTTTTATGGAAACTTTATGGCTTACTCCAAAAATAATTTTAAAGATTTACTTGGAAAAATATCTTGAAATTAAGAGGTGGGTCCCAGAATCAGTCAATATTGTTGTTGTTGTCTGCCAGTGAGTTGGAACCCACTTGAGCTCTGAATACCAGGGAAACCAGAACTGAGACATGAATGGATATATGTACACCCATGTTCACAGCAGTGTTATCCACGACAGCAAGAAAATGGAAATGGCCTAAATTCCTATCAACAAACAAACGGATTAAGAAATTGTAGTCCATTTACACAACGGGCTATTACGAAACACTAAGGAATAACAATTTTGTCAAATACACGAGAAATAATAACATATATAATAATGAATTAAAAATGGAAATAAATTTAAATAAAAAAATAATGGGAAAGAATAAACATATAACATGGGAAAGACTAGAGAGTATTATGCTGAGTGAAATAACTCAGTCACATAAGGACAGACACTACATAAAACCACTACTGGGAAAAGAGGAGGAGAACTAGGTGAGATGCATACTATTCAAAAGAGGAGTGGAAGAACAGAAGGGGAATAGAAAAAAAGGAAGAGGAAAGTCATTAGGATAGCAGATGTTGAAGGGGAAAGGGTGTGAGAAGGCACTGGAAAGGCTCCATGCGGACTGAAAGAGAAAGAGGGGTAATAGGAATAGAGCAACAGTAATTTATAACATGAAATACAATGCATATGAATATAATTATAACATACAATGTATAGAAATGATTGAATAGCAAGGATTTGGAAACAACCTAAGTGCCCATCAACAAACGAATGGCTAGAGAAGCTGTGGTATATTCGCACAATGGAATACTATGCTGCAT